CAAAGATTTCAGAAGAAAAGGTTCGATTTAAGCTGTAGTTTATACTGTCAGTATCACCCTAAAGCCAATAGGGTACAAGACAACAGGAATCGCAACAAAAAATGTCAAGGCAGAGGGAGACACAAAGAAATAGAGTAGCTTGCATTTATTCATTAAATTTTATGAATACTCAAAATTATACCCTTCAGTTAAAATTTTGGACTCCCAGATATTTTAATAACAAATGTGGCCTCAAAGTAATGACTTGTAAATGCACTTTTGTCATTTCTGTAGTCCTTAGGCTAAAGCAAAACTTTACAACTTTAAGCTCATTTTTGCCATCTGCTGGCAAATTTGTGAAATACAAGTGGTCTACATCAAATGTTTGGTTGATATAGATTACATATATTTGGCTGAAACTGGTGCTTGTTTGACATCTTCCCAATCCTACTAAAATGTTAACATTTACCAATTTGGTCAGATTCTTACCTTAGCATTTTTAAGGCAGATATTAAATAAAAACTATCAATTTCTACAATTTCCTTCATCAGTTTTGGTTATGGACAGAAAAACTGAGGATCTTTTGTGATTGAAGGCATAAGCTATGGGATAAGTCATGTCTGGGTTAGATTCCTTTATTGACAAATAGCTGGATACTTTGGAGAAGTCATTCATTCATTCACCCAAGAAATATGTTTTAGGCCCTGGATATATGACTATTAGCAATACAGATAGGATTGTTACCATCATGAGGCTGACATATTTATTTAGAACCCAGGCTCCTCATTTGTAAATATATGCAATTATTATAATAAATTCATAAAGATTATCTGCCAGTGATTTGCCTAGGTACTTGGTATAGCACCTGGCAGGTTTGTAATAAAGTTTACCCATGGTAATGTTGGTCATTGTGATGTTGACACTCATCACTCATTCCACCAATTTGATAAAACCAGTCATATAAGCATGATTAAATCCTTCCTGTCAGTACTAGTATTGCTCTTTATCCAGGGTGGGCATTCCTAGGGACTTATATATACCTAATACATGACAGAAGAAGCTTCTGAGGCAAAGAACAAAGTATATGAGACCAGATGTACTGCATACATTGGACTGACGTTGTGGAAGTTTCAGAGTCTAGACAGGAGGTCTTGTGTGTTTCCTGCTCTATCCTGGATATCTGCATAGCTGCCAGGAAAGCAAGCTCACTCTAGCCTGCTGGAACACAAGATGCAGGGGGCCACATATGAGGGCAGATGCACAAGTGAACCCAACCAAGTCCTACCCAAATTTGTCCCCATAAAACTATGAGAAAAATTAATAGTTTTATTTATTTAAAGTTGCTAAATTTGAGGATAGTTTGTTATGTACCAGAAGCTAACTGATACAATGGCATGTTTTCATGGAATACTCTTTAAAGGAAACATTTTTTATTCAAACTGTTACACATAGTCAAAAATTTCTGTCTGATTCCATTTCTTCATGTAATCCTACTGTAATAATTTTAGCTTTTTGTAAAATGAAAGAAATTTGCCTAATATCACACATCTACTAAGTGGCAGAGCCAGGATCTGAACTCAAGCAATGCGACATTAGCATCTAGGGCTAGGCTCTTCACTTTAGCATCTAGGTTGGCTCTTCACTTTATATTAGGCTGGTGCAAAATAAGTGTGGTTTTTCCCACTAAGAATAATGGCAAAAACCACAATTACTTTTGCACCAACCAACACTATTAAGCCAACTAAAACTATAGTATTTCCTGTAACAACGGTAATCTTCTGATTAAGTTTCTTATTTTTTTCAGTATAAAACATGAAAATAATATATACAAATTCACAGAAGTAAAAGAAAAGCATCAACTCACACTCGAGAGATGACTAACATTAATACATGGTATAGACATGTGTGGCTTAATAACAAGAATATATTCTGAGAAATGCATCACAAGGCAATTTCGTCAATTGCATGGACATCACAGGGTGTACTTACATAAATCCAAATGGCATATCTTACTATACACTTACATTATATGGTGTGCTATGCTAATCTCCTTCTTTATCAGTTTTGATCATATACAAAGAAAAAGTGAAGATCTTTAGTAACTGAAAGCATAAGTTATGGCATAAGTCATGCCTAGGTTAGATTCCTTGATTGATAAATAGCCTATTGCTATTTAGCTGATTGATAAATAGCCTGTAGCCTGTTGCTCTTAGTCTACAAACCTGGACAGCATGTTACTGTACTGAACACTGCAGGGAACTGTAACATGCTGGCAAGTATTTGTGCATCTAAATATATCTAAATATAGAAAAGATACAGCAAAAATATATGGTATTATGAACCTACAGGGCCACCATCATATAGGCCAGTTGATGTTGAACAAACCATAATTATGGGGTATATGACTGTATACATGCATCTAGATTTTTTCCTAAGCATGTAAGTGTGCACATGTCCTATAAAAATCGAGCATATGGTACATATTACTTTGTATCCACCATCATTGATTTCAGCAAACCACCAATTTTTACACATTTATATTGCTCCAGAGATTATCTGATTGTGAGGAATAGAAACACACTAATATAATAATAAGGTGTATGTGTGTGCATGCCAGAGGTGGCAAGGTCAATGATAAAATAATAGTTGCACAGGGGATTTTCTCTCTGTTTTCTTCTGAGGCCATTTGTTGTGGGGTCAAAATTATTTCTAACCTTTCTTCTCCTCCTTGTAGAATGAAGATCTCAGCACATTGCTTTGACTTGACAGAGCTTTTCATGAGGCAGGGACCACCATTGCCTTTCTGCGGAACATGGACAAATTTTAGAGAAAAATAAAATGATTTCGCTCAACTAGAGGTTCTTGAACAAATAAACTTTGTGCATGTCTATGGGGTAGTGTAGGTAGGAGGAACTCATGGGATTACTGTTTTCTTCCCTGTGTCAAAGTGGAACAGGTTAATTTGTAAAGTAACTCCATTATGGTGAACACTGGCATGCAGGCAGAACCACCTTGTACTCTCCCAAATCATGCAGAGTATGGATAGCAGCTAGCAATCAAGCCAGAATTTTAAAAACTGAAAATTAGAAAATCAGTTTCAAAATTAAACAAGCAAATTTCTAACTGCAACTGGACTCTCATAGGATTACAAAATTACTCCATGGTGCACTACATTTAGTAGCTGTGAAAGATTGTTACTTGGATATTTGATTTCAGATAATGTTTTCATTTGGTCAGATTGTCAAAAAAATGTCAGCTTGTCTTTTACTATATCCTTTTTTGGCCAAATTGTTTTCATTCGAATCACTTGCAGCTGGTCTAGATTCATCTTGACGGTAAGGCATAGTCACCTGGAGAGATTCTGATTGAATTGGTCTGAGATGTTGTCTGGGCATCAGGAGTTCTTAAAGCTCCTCACATTAAGTGACTTCATGGTTTAGCCAAGTTTGAGCACACTGAACAAAAGGGTCCTGCACAGGGCTATTAAAGGACTTTGCAACAAAATCAAGGTAAAGGCCATTATGTTTCCCATGTATGGACTTAAAATGTCTAGTATTAGATTTTGGGGGCAGTTTCATCCTACTATCATCTCATGCTGAGTTTGCAGTCATTTAAGGAATATTAAAGAAAATACTTTTTATTTGTCTTGTTTGATCCTCCTATCATCTCTCTAAGGCAGTATTATTTTTCCTATTTTACAAGTCAGAAATCAGGTTTAGAGAGGTTAGAGGCATTTTGCAGTATCTAAGAGAGAAGGGAATATGTCAGTATTCACATCACTGCTATACATTTCTCTTGCACTTACCCAGTGTAACCCATTTCCACTTAGGCCATGAGTTCTTTATCACTTATTTATTAACTTATTGTCAGGTTATTCATTCAGGATGCATTGACTGGGTTTTTCTTAGTTTTGGTTTTGTTTCTTTGGAGGAGGGATGAGACATGGGGGCCACTGCAGTGAACAATACAGATATTATGGTACCCGCTTTAGTGACTGTAGGAATCTATTGATGGAACAGGCAAGCAAATGGGCTATTATAAAATTAACGTAAAAACCAACATAGATGGTTAACTACCTAATCCTTATAGAGAAACAGGAATAGGGTGGTTGAAAGCAGAGAAGGAACAGAATGTAAAATCTAAGCTATAAATTCGTAGATAAGTAGAATTTACCCTTGTGAAAAATGCTGTTATATTCCCTAGAAGAAGGAACAGCTTGAGACTAAAGAAAGAGAGACCTGAGAGTGGATCAAGGAGCATAACACTGGGGTGGGGAGTGTGACAAATGAGGCTGAAGAGGAAGCTGTGGGCTGATCACAAAATGGCCTTGTAACTTATAAACCATTTTCAGGAGTTTGTGTTATCCTAGAGGGACACAACATGATCATATGTGTTTCAGGGAAGCTCTGGCTGCCCCAGAGTGTCCTCTCGACCATTAAGCTAGGCTTCCACAGGCAGTGTGTCCGGAAGTTTTGGCAACAGGGGAAGAGGATAGTGTCCAAATACAATATTTCCACCTAAGGCAATACAGGAGGATCCGAGGCTGACACCTTGGCTGTGATGTGATTCCCTGATTTAGCAATTGCTTAATGAAGAGAGAAGCGGAACAGGAGAGAAATAGTGGGCGCGTTTTCAGACATGTTGCATTTGAATTATCTGAGCTGTTGCTTAGGATTTCGTGTACTGCATAAAATATACTCCATAAATATTTTGAGTCTTTATTGTACAGTCCAAGTCTGTAAAATTGTATCAAACCACCTTACTAATGGAAATTATCAAACTTAGAACCCCCCTTTTTAAGCTACCTAGTAAATCAAATAAGCTTGGGTGGAAAAACACACATTCGCCCGCCCTCAAAAAAAAGCAGTTGGTTGGCTTAGCGCATGCTCAATATATACTTGAGGCTCTAAATTCCTCTTAGAAGCGCGAAAAAGCTGCCTCCCCCTGTTGGCCAGACTGCATAATGCAGCGTAAGGAGGGGAAATTCCTAGGGGCGTGGTACTTGGTGGATGACGTAAAAAGAGCGTCGGGGACAGGCAATTGCGCTTGCGTCAACGGTGAGCGCCACCGGAACCTTGACAAGCAGCATGGCTGCGGGTTGTTCGGAGACGCAGCGGCAAAAGGCGGCTTCTGATGGGTCTCTGGTAGGGCAGGCTGGCGTCCTACCTTGCCTAGAGTTGCCGACTTATGCCACTGCTTGTGCGCTGGTGAACAGTCGCTACTCATGCCTGGTGGCCGGGCCGCACCGAAGGCACATCGCTCTGTCGCCCCGATACCTTAACAGGAAACGCACTGGCATTCGAGAGCAGCTGGATGCGGAGCTCCTGCGCTATTCTGAGAGGTACCGATCTCTTTGCCTGTTCCTTCTTTTGTGCACGGGAAGTACCAGCAGGTGGATGTGCTGGTGACGTAGCAAAAAAGGGGGAAATGGTAAAGGTCTCACTGCCCCCCAGAGCTTAGCTTCGTGGAATTCTAGAGTCGCGATCCGTCCCTCAAGGCCAGTACCGCTCTGGTAAAGATCTATACAGGGTCCCTTTCATAGATAGAGAAGAAAACTTAAAGGTGAAGTTCAGGTGTGGGCGGAGGAAGTGGAGATTCTCGCTCCAGATCCGTGATGGTAGGGTTAGGAACAGAGCAGGAGTCTGGAGACCTAGTAGGCCCCGTTCTGTATGGCATTCAACGTTTCATTTATCTCTTTCCGGATGATGTTTTCTCATTTGACAATAAAAATTTGGTTTGTAGTGCTTAAGTAGATTCTCATTCTATAGAAGATTGCACATGAAGCTAATACAGCTGTTCGACTTGTAAAACATGAAGCACGTTTTTGTTGGATTTTGCTCTGGTAATTTCCCCAGGTTCTCTTCTCTTGGATCTGATATGGGGATGATGGAAATGCCATTAGTTTAGTGTTTGTTGTTGTTGTTAAGACGATTTATGCAATCGGACTAGTAAGCCTGTTGCTTTTGGGAGAGAAAAACCCAAAACGTATTCATTTATATTACAGTATTCAAAAGCAACCTGAAAACTCAGAATTACAGAAGTATGTGTGTGGAGGGGGTGTGGGCATGTGCTTTGGTATTCCTCTGGACTATACTTTGGTTCAAATGGGAGGGTTCTAAAACTAGAGTAAATGGATTTCCTAGGAATTCATGCTTGCCCTTCAGGAATTCCCATGTGAAGTTCCTTGGGCACTGGTATCGAAAGCTTTTACCACTTTCTTAAGGGATCCTGGATCTACACACACTGGTTAATAATCAAGCATGTCTAGAATATACAGCTTCTGCCAAGCACCAACACACGGTTCTTGTATGTTTATATTATATACCGAGAACTTGAGATATAAAAACAAACAAAAAATAAAATCCCTGTTTCAAGGAGCTGTAAGCTGTAGTAGAGATACAGATTCAAGCCAATAAATAGTGAAGTGTTAAAATTTGACAGAAATCTAATAAGGAGTGTTGAATTTGGATCTTGGGACCTTTGAGAACAACTTGATGGAAAAGGGTACTTTCACATGATAGTATTGCAGGCAGAGAGTGGCATAAACAGATACTGGATGTGAACTGGTATGCTTTGCCTAGAGAGCTGTATCTATTATATAAGTAGACTAAGGTTTATGTCAGGGGAAAGGCACTGGAAGTCACTGGAGAGAAGGGCAGGGGGTCAAAAATTACTCAGAGAGGATGGCCATTTTGCTTTTCCCTTCTTGCCATTGCCAGTTTTTGGTTTTGGGGGTGAAAGGTGGAGTTGTTTTTCCTTTTGTGTTTCTGTTTTCTCAGGCAAGGTTAGTGCTTCATCCTCTCAATACCCTTTAACTCTGAGACCTCACACACTTTTGAGAAAGTAGCACGTTTGCAGTCCTGGCATATCAGATTTGCACTTTAAGAAACAGCATTTGGTAGCCTTAATGGTTAGCTACCAAATAGGATGAGAAAGTGGACAAGGAGACGAATTAAGATAATGTTATAATTGTCTAAGAGAAAATGATTAGAGGGGATGGTTTTGAGAGATTTAAGAATATACAAAGTGGTCATAACATCTGAAAACACAAGCAACTATTTTGTTTTCTGTAACCAGTATTGCCTGCACTTGACAGGCTAGGGGAAAGTCACCCAGAGTGGCTCTGAACGGATCTGGACACCATTCCTTCCACATTACTTGAGTATGCTGAAGACTCCTGTTTATTCAGGTGCAAATCAGGCACCACACTTTGAACTATGCTTTGCTAATAAGGGACAAAACTTGAACATATATTACTAAAGAACTAAAATGAGGCTACCACCTTGCCCTGATACCCATTTAGGATGGTATCTGAAAAACAAAAGTGAAGGAGGAAAAAGTTTATAGTGTTGGGTGTTCACATATCTGATGACTTTTAATAAAATCTCACTTGAATTTATATATTGCTGAATTCCTGATAATTTTAATATATATTAAAACTATGCAAAGATGACTTTGCGTTTATATTTTTTAAGAGTTAAATTATGTGCCTACCTATTTGTAAACAGATTTGTCCGTTTATTCAAAAGTCAGAGCTATTAATATTTCCTTATTGTACAGGACGGTCCTGTATATGGCACTCTTTTCTTCCTTGGCTTCTGCAAAGTTTGTGATAACCATGAATAGTATCACAAATTTCCAAATGCCCCCGCCTCCCTTGTGCCCCACAGGGGACCACAGTGCTCCTTCCACTTGAGAATCACTCTCTAATAGTTGAGAGACAAGGCTTTGATTAGGGGAAATAAAGTCTTAATTTTTGCTTTTCTGTCTAGTATGGTGGTTACTTTTTCTTCCTATTCTCTAACTCTGTTTTCTGTGTCCCTAACATTGTCTTAGTGATAGGATGATTCCATCTTAGGAATGCCACATGCAGAAATTAAAACCTCAAAAGATTGCTCTCCCAAGTAAGTCTCTCAGTTAGGATTTTCCTAATTTGGTAGGTCTTAAAGTTTATTTTCTGTGGCTTCTGGCTGTTTTACTAAATAATATCTATTAGGGATAAATTATTTCCCTTATTTTATGTAAATTGTGTTAGAAGTTTAATTGAGTTTAACAAAAAACCTGCCATCAAAGGCCTTAGAGTCATGTGAAATTCAAACATACTACAGATAGGTTCAATACAATTAGGCTAAGAACAGTGCAAAAGTTGTTCTATAGGAGTAGAGGAGTGATTTCAGCTTTGCCTAGGGGAGTCAGGGAAGTTTTCTCTAACAAGTAGTGGTATGGTAATGAAGCCACCAGGTTTTGTTTATTTTTTATTTATTTATTTATTTTTTATTCATTTGTTTGAGATGGAGTCTCCCTCTAATGCCCAGGCTGGAGTGCAGTGGCGAGATCCCCATTCACTGCACCCTCTGCCTCCCACCACTAAGTCTTTCTCCTTAATAGTTATCCCTTAATCCTGACGGTTACATTTGTAGACTAAAGTGTTAGTTCATAAATAATATAGTTGTATTAACATTTGCTTTTATTAGCAACAGTTGAAGCCTGGGATTTTCTCTATTAAGTCATTGATTTTAACATTCAGGGGCTTTGACTTTAACTGTAATGCTTCCCTTGCTATATGCTGTCAAGTACTGAAATTCAGTAATGGTTTATAATACCAAAATTGCCTCTTACTCAGTCATGCTCACAAAATACACTTTTTTCTTGCTAAGTCCCACTCTTTCTATCCTAGCATGACTTGAAGAATTCAAATAGGATAGAAAGAATGGGACTTGGCAAGGGAAGAAGGGTTGATTTCCTGCTCATGCATTAATTGGACATTTTATTTCTGAGTATCTTGAATCATCATTTTAACTTAGCCAACATATCAGAATCCATTTGTGAATGGGACTAATATAGTTATTACAGACTAATCATATACTATTGTTTTTGACATGGGTGGTGTACTTAGGAGATGTATAAGTTTTGGACTCTTAGCATAAGTATGAAAATGACCTGGTTTGAAAGAGTGCAGTGATGTGCACCTATAATCTCAGCACTTTGGGAGACTGAGGCAGGAGGATCACTTGAGCCCAGGAGATTGAAGCTGCAGTGAGCCCTGTTCATGTCACTGCACCCTAGCCTGGGCAACAGAGCAAGACCCTGTCTCCAAAAAAACATAAATAAATGGGATAAAAGATACTATTATCAACTTTTTCTTCTTACAGCCTTTTAGGTGTCCCTATTGCATATGATAACATCAAAGTTGTGGGAGAACTGGGAGATATTTATGATGATCAAGGACACATTCATCTTAACATCGAAGCCGATTTTGTTATTTTTTCCCCTGAACCAGGGCAAAAGCTTATGGTATGTTTATCATTTTTTTTAGCTTTCTTTGTGTAATTATATAATTATGCAACTTGGAACATTTTAAGAGGTGTAATATACCTTTCGACTCAAATTCCTATTGTAAGTAAATAAATACTATTTTTAAGGAAAAATTAATTTGTATTATTCAAACTTAGGTAAGTTTTTAAACACTCTCCTAAAACACATGCATGCACAGAATATATGTCCCATCCACTTTATTCTTTTCATAGTAATAGAATGATTTTAAGGGGAAAAAAAATCAATTATTATGATTTCAGAAGTTCTCAATTCTACACAAATACCATTTCTTTATAAAGGATTCAAAGAATATAGCAGTATATGAAACAGAAATTCAAATGAACGAGGCAGTAATGAAAATGTATGAATGACAGAGAATAGGGCAGCCAGTCTGTGCCTTGGAAGTGGAAGCTCTGTGGGAAAGGTCTTCCCGTTTTTCATAAACTGGAAATGCAGATGTTGATATGAAATCTACTGAGATATATCCTTTTTTACTCTTTACTTTCCGTTCTCTTCCTCCAGTAGTTCTGTGTGTGTGTGTATTCACATGTTCATATGTATATTTGTGTGTGTGTGTTATGTTCTTTTCTTTTTTTTTTTTTTTTTTTTTTTTTGAGACGGAGTTTCACTCGTTACCCAGGCTGGAGTGCAATGGCGCGATCTTGGCTCACTGCAACCTCCGCCTCCTGGGTTCAGGCAATTCTCCTGCCTTAGCCTCCTGAGTAGCTGGGACTACAGACACACGCCACCATGCCCAGCTAATGTTTTGTATTTTTAGTAGAGACGGGGTTTCACCATGTTGACCAGGATGGTCTCGATCTCTTGACCTCGTGATCCACCCGCCTCGGCCTCCCAAAGTGCTGGGATTACAGGCGTGAGCCACCGCGCCCGGCCTTGTTCTTTTCTTTAGTTGATAAATTTGTATAGGAATTGCTTAATCTAATAGATCAGAACTGTTAACTAACCCTTGATACTGTTCCTGAAAATATAGATCAGTTTAACCATGACAAAACATACAAAGTACTTCTAATTTTTTTCATTTTTCAATATCAAATTAATATAAATAGTATCCTTTGCCTATTAAACTGGAATCTTATAGCTAGACCACTAAAGTTGACAGGTTTGTATTTGGAAATTAACAAACTTAACTTTCATCTGCTTTGTGTTATTTATATTTTAAATATAAACATGTAGGCCAGGCACAGCACACCTACAGTCACAGCATTTTGGGTAGCTGAGGCAGGAAGATCACTTGAGGCCAGCAGGTCAAGACCAACCTGGGCAACATAGTGAGACCTCGTCTCTACACAAAATAAAAAATTAGCCAGATGGTGGCATGCATCTGTAGTCCCAGCTACTCAGGAGGATGGGGGTAGGAGGATTGCTTGCGTCCAGGAGTTCAAGGCTACAGTGAGCAATGATTGTGCCAATGCATTCCAGGCTGGGCAACAGTGGGACCCTGTTGCTAAAATACACATACATACACACACACACATACACACACACACACGGAAATAACATACATATTTATGTACATGGAAATAACAGATTGTATAGAAAGTATGAAATGAAAAGTGTTCCTTTTATTCTACCTGCTGCAAGATCCAGTCCTCAAATATTTTCAACTACCCAGTTTTTCTTTAAATATTATTAATAATATTTGGCCAGATAAAATTTACATATTATAAAATGTACAGATCATATTGTTCAGTTCAGTGAATTTTGTCAGGTCCGTATACCATTCTATCTCCTTAGAAAGGACCTTCATGCCCTTTCCTGGGCCAGTTCCCTCTTTTTATTCCAGGTGTAATTACTCTTATGCTTTTATTATAAGTCAGTTTTGCTTATTCTATAATTCCATGTTAATGGAATTATTCATTATACACTCTTGAAATCTGCCTTTTGATCAGCATGTTTTTGAGTTTCATCCATGCTGTTGTGTATATTGCTACTTTGTTCCTTTTTATTTCTCATGGTATTCAATTATATGATTATATCACAATATGATTATCTGTCTTCAATGATGGATTGATTCTAGGCTGGAGCTTTTATGAACAAAGCTATTGAAAACATATATTTTCAGACATGTTTGCAGATACATAAGTGAAAACATACATTTTCATTTATCTTAAGTAAATAACTAGAAGTAGAAGAGCTAGGTCACAGGGTGTTTATATGAAAACATTGTCAGACTAATTTCCCATTTAACACTTCCATTCACTGTTTCCTTATTAACATTTGCTGTTGTCTCAATTTTACTGATGGGCGTATAGTGGTATCTCATTATGGTTTTCATTTGCATTTTCATTTCCCTCGTGAGCAGGTTTTCATATATTTCAATAAGAAGGGTCTGTTCAAGTATTTTGCCCATTTTTAATAGGGTTTTTGTATTTTTATTATTGACTTGTAGCAGTTCCTTTTGGTCTTTAAACAAATTATTTTCAGATAAATATTTTGGATATTTTCTTTCAGTTTGTGACTTGTCTGTTAAGTTTTAATGATATTATTTGATAAACAGGTACTTTTAATTTTGATGAGGTCCAATTTATCATTTTATATTTTTATGACTATTGCTTTCTGGATCCTATCAAAGAAATTTGTCCACTTAAAGGTTATGCAGATATTCTTCTGTCAAATTCTACAAGATTTTAGTTTTAGCTTTTCCATTTAGGTCTGTGATTATTCTCAAATAATTTTTGTGTATAGTGTGAGGTAGGCCTTGAGATCCACTCTCTTCTTCATGTAGCTTTCCCATTTTCTAGATTCATATATTAAAAAGGCTTTTCTTTCATTGATTTTCTAAAATTTATATACTTTTAACAGCAGCTTGGGGTTTACAGAAAAATGGAAGTGAAAGTATAGAGTTCCCATATAACCACGCCTTCCCCAAATATGCATTTTCCCCTATTATTAACATTATGTTGCATTAGTATGGTGGATTTGTTACAATTTTTGTGCCAATATTGGTAACATTATTATCAAGTCAAGTCTGTAGTTTACATTAGAGTTCAGTCTTTGTGTGCTACCGTCTATGGGTTTCCACAAAAGTATCATGACACTTATCTACCATTATAGTATCATACAGAATAGATTTTCTCTCCTAAAACTCCCTTGTGCTCCACCTACTCATTTCTCCTTCCTTCCCTCCATCCATCCTCTCTAATCCCTGGCAACCACTGATCTTTTTACTGTCTGCATAGTTTTGCCTTTTAAAAAAAGAATAATAGGGTATGTATCCTTTTCAAATTGACTTCTTTCACTTAGCAATATGCGTTTAAGGTTCTTCCTCGTCTTCGTATGGTGAGAACCTATTTATCTTTATTACTGAATAATCTTTTATTTTAAGGATGTACCAGTTTGTTTATCTAGACCGTCTGGAAGCTACCATTGGGAACACTAAGACTTCTGATCATGACAAATAGTGAAGTTTTATTCTGTCACATGTGTAAAAGGTTGCTCATTTTAAACAGCATTGTATACAAGTCAGTATTATTTGCAGTTCTGTAATTCAGAAAATGTGATTTTTTAATATTGCAAGTTCTCATGCATATGCTTTGTGTATATTGACCCTGAGAAGAAAAATAAGTTTTATTCAAAGTCTGATCTTAAAATCATATAGTACATACTTTTATTTTAGCTTTAAAGCTTCTAATAATACTTTTGTGATTTAGCCAAAAATAGCCATGGTCAATGTTTACATGTAAAGGATAAACTGCCTTCTAATAGAATGCTTGCATCATGCTAAATTAAATAATTAAAGAATGCATTTTTAAGGTTTTAAATTTGGTGTCTTTATGGAAATATAACATGGATCCTTGTTATAAAACACATATGAGATCTTTTTATAGGCTATATGAGAGTATTTTTCTGCTTGGTTTCAATGTAGCTAAAGAGTAATAATCTCCTCCCCAAGGAATCCTGCAGTGGGGAGATTAGGTGGTTTTCTTTCTTGGCCGGGGCGATGGCGGCAGGTTAGTTAAACTATTTAGACAGTTAACGTGCACAGTTAGACAGTTAATTTGCAATTACTTATTTAATTAAGTTGAGCTTTCTCAAAACCCCATGGTATTCTAAAGTGATATTTTGACATGACGTGTCGAGTTTTAATTGAGGTAAACCTTTTCCATATTAGACCATTAATTTGATGTTTGCTCTTTGAAGATTATTTGAAGTTTGTAGACTCTGGTTCACCTTTTAACTTTGTGGATCTGTTCTTTATGTTATGCTCTTTCTTCCTTCTTCCCAGGGTATAGTTAATAAAGTGTCTTCTAGCCACATTGGCTGTTTAGTACATGGCTGTTTCAATGCCTCCATTCCTAAACCTGAGCAGTTGTCAGCTGAGCAGTGGCAAACCATGGAGATAAACATGGGTGATGAACTGGAATTTGAAGTATTTCGTTTAGACTCAGATACTGCTGGAGTATTCTGCATTCGGGGAAAACTAAATATCACAAGGTTAGTTTATCATTACATAATTACCATTAGGTACTTAGTAATTTCCATTTAATTCTGAATTTAGAGAACATAACCCCTCTTTAAAAATACCTGTTTTTAGGAATATTCATGGTTTCAAACCATAAAGTCAATATAAACAGTATTCTTAAGTAATCTGTAACAGTGCATCAAATAAATATTTTAAAACTCTGTCTAGCTAGCTGGTCTGTATTTTAATATTTAATAGCTCAGTTTTGCTGAATGTTTTCTATTTTGTTCACTCTTTTTAATTCTGCCTCTAAACTTGAAGCTATTGGCTTGCTTTGTTTTTACACACAAAAGAGTGTGTTGATTATTGTTATCTGTGTCAGATATTTTAATTTCTGTATTCTGTATTGAAATTATTATAAGAAACTCTGATCTTGAACTTCTTTCCGTGGGAGTCAAGTTTAAAGGAAGAAGGAGAGAGACAACTCTTAGAATGCTGCTTTTGCTAATAATTTTTTCTAGATTTTGTCTTTAAATTACAAGCGTGTGTGTTGAAGTTCTGGAACAGCCGTACAATTTCTGTGATGACAAAAGTATAGTATATATGCATAATACAGTAGCCTCACTATTAAGCATTGAAACGTGACTGACTAGTGTGACTGAGGAACTGAATTTCTAAAGTTGTCATTGCTATTGCCTAGGTATATGTGCCTAGTGCTACCGTGTAAGACTGAAGTTCTGGAGAGAGAACTACTTCATTGATCCATGTTTTATTTTAGTAGTATAAAATAATTCACAATGTTTAAGTAACACTGTCGTAGTATCAGCTAAGTAAACAATAGACTACTATTTGAAACAGGATTAAAATAGACTGGAAACTCCATTGCTTTGATACATACAGGAGCATATTTTCTATGCGATGTCAGTGGTTTGGTTAATAAGCCTAAGTATTGTGATGTTTAATGTTGAGTGATCAAATTCTTCTGAAACAACGCAAAACTTGAAAGACATGTTTTGACAAGATTTTTATGTCATTTTTATGTGTGGAAAGGGTCTGGGAGAAGTTCTTCATAAAGAAAGATTTTAACATTTAATGTTAAATTTAATATTTTTCAATTTAACATTCATATTTTAGTGGGTTGAGGGATAACAGGATAGAATATTTGGAATTTATGCCTTGATTATGTGTCTTGTACTGCTGTCATTATTTAGAAAATCTTAGCCTGTTAGAATATATTGATCTCATTTTCTTATTTGTTTTTTGCTTATTGCTCTGTTAAAATTTTTTAACTGTTAATTTATAGTTTACAATTCAAGCACTCTGAAGTTTCTGAAGAAGTTACAGAAAATGGCACCGAGGAAGCTGCTGAAAAACCTGCTAAGAAGAAAAAGAAAAAGAAGAAAGACCCAGAGACGTATGAAGTAGACAGTGGTACTGCCAAGCTAGCAGATTTTGCAGATGACACTCCAATGGAAGAGTCAGCCCTGCAGAATACTAATAATGTGAATGACCTCTGGGAGGAGGAGCCAAAGAAAAAGAAGAAGAAGAAAAATAAAAAGGAAGATCAGGACCAGGACCCTAGTTTCCAAGGCAGTGACTCCAGTGGTTACCAAAGTGACCATAAAAAGAAAAAAAAGAAAAGAAAACACAGTGAAGAGGCTGAATTTACCCTACCTTTGAAATGCTCACCAAAGAAAAAAAAGGAAAAGTAATTTTCTTTAGTGTATTTTAAATATGATTCCGTTTTCAAAAGACAGATACACATACAATTGATGAATAAATGTTTTGAGTGATATGAAATGCTTAAGCATACCAGTAGTTTACAGAAGAGAAAATAAGTTGGAGGCAGCTTGATGTGCTTAAAATGATAAAACTGACTGTACATTAATTTGGGGAAAACCAGTATTGTTAAAGTGCCATTTCATACAAAATAAAAAGCTGCTCTTACTGTCAACTCTCATATTCTTCCAGGTTTTGCACTCTACATAAAATTATTTCTACAGTATCTACAGTCTCAAGACTAGCAAGAGAACTTTGTAATACAATATTATATTACTAAAGAATGAGTTAGAGTTTTTGATTATTTGATTGTGTGTGTGTGTTTAATAGGTTTCACCTTATTACATGCTGTTTTCTAATGCTTTTTTTAAAACTCAGGACATTAACTGGTTTTAGGTTTTCCTTTATCATGGCTTCTACAGTATTTCTATTGTTTAACATAAAATGGTTTGCCAAAGAAGTTTCTGAAGTCTTCACAGCTCTTAAAAGCCATGCCAGTACTGACTGCCTGGTGGTAAATGCTATTCATTATTCTCTTCTTCCAGGTGCATGTGTGTCCATGTTTTCTTTTTTAAATCTGAGAGGTTGATGGAAAGAACTGTCTTGTTGTACTTGTTCATTTGTGCCTCAGCCATTCTAATTTTGTTGTGGGTTGAAGTAGAGTCTAATGAAGACAGGATAAATGTGATTCTGACTAGTGGGAAATTTCAGATTACTTTATATATATGTGTGTGTGTGTGTGTGTGTGTGTGTGTGTGTGTGTGTGTGTGTACTTTAAGTCCTGAGATACTTGTACAGAACATTCAGGTTTGTTCCATAGGTATATGTGCCATAGTGGTTTGCTGCACCCGTCAACCCGTCATCTACATTAGATATTTCTCCTAATGCTATCCCTCCCCTATCCCCCAACCCCTGACAGGCCCCAGTGCGTGATGTGTCCATGTTTTCTCATTGTTCAACTCCCACTCATGAGTGAGAATATATGGTGTTTGGTTTTCTGTTCTTGTGTTAGTTTGCTGAGAATGGTGGTTTCTAGCTTAATCCATGTCTCTGCAAAGGACATGAACTCATCCCTTTTTATGGCTGTATAGTATTCCATGGTATGTCTGTGCCACATTTTATTTATCTAGTCTATCAATGATGAGCATTTGAGTTGGTTCCAAGTCTTTGCTATTGTTAACAGTGCTGTAATAAACATATGTCTGCATGTGTCTTTTTAGTAGAATGATTTATATTTTTTTTTGGTATATACCCAGTCATAAGATTACTGGGTCAAATGGTATTTCTATTTCTAGATCCTTGAGGAATCACCACGTTGTCTTCCACAGTGGTTGAACGAATTTACACTCCCACCAACAGTGGTTCCTATTTTTCCACATCCTCTCCAGCATCTTGTTTCTTGACTTTTTAATGATCGCCATTCTAACTGGCATGAAATGATATCTTATTGTGGTTTTGATTTGCATTTCTCTAATGACCAGCGATGATGAGCTTTTTTTCATATGTTTGTTGGCCGCATAAATATCTTCTTTTGAGAAGTGTCTTTTCATATGCTTCGCCCACTTTTTAATGGGGTTGTTTTTTTCTTGTAAATTTGTTTAAGTTTGTAATAGATTCTGGATATTAGCCCTTTGTCAGATGGATAGATTGCAAAAGTTTTCTCCATTTATAGGTTGCCTGTTCATTCTGATGATAGTTTCTTTTGCTGTAGAGAAGCTGTTTAGTTTAATTAGGTCCCATTTGTTGGCCTTAAGATATTGTGCTGAAGAAAAAACAGTTGTTCTGTTCACTGCTTTCATTGAGAAAACATGGAATGTCTCTTGACTAACTGACAAAGCATAATGAAATGACAAGCTGGTTGAAGCTGATAATCAATGCATGGCCATATTTATTCATTTTCCACACACTTGACCATCTACTTTGTATAACACATTCTTCCATGACCCAGGGATATAATGGTAAACAAGATAGATGTAGTTCCTTCCCTTGTGGCATGTCATAATCGAGAACAGTTGTGCATGTACACACAATAAGTAAGAAAATTAATAATTATGTTAAATGATATGAAAAGGGGAGGATTGTCCACTCACTGTTACCTGTGTATTTGCAAATAGATGAATGGTTGAACTCCCATGTCAGCTTTTGTGTTGCCATTTATTTAGTACCAGACATAGTGCTGGTCTCACAGTTTAATATTTGGTAATGAATAAATTCTGCTAGTGGCATATCTTAATCTGAATTTATAATTATAGGATATAGAATTGGCAGAGTGGCAGATGTTCACAGTTGTGTACCAGTGGATGTGCTAGACAATGGAAGGATGCAGGCCAATTACAGTTGGGGTTCATGTGAGTATTGAGCCCTGGAAATGTAGCTCATCCAAATTCAGATGTGCTGCCAGTATAAAATACATACCAGATTTTGTAAATATACGAAGAAATGTAAACTATCTCAGTTTTTATATTGGCAAAATCAATATTATTTCGTATAGTGGGTTAAATAAAACAAGTTTAGCCTTCCTCAGTTTATTTTTCTACAAAAAGTCTAAAAATCGTACATAAAGCTTATATTAACTTTCTTTTGGTCAGTGCTATCTTAAAGGAAGTATGAGTTGAAAAAAGTTTGAAATAAGCTATATCATATTACCAGGATTTAATATAGTGGCATACCCAAAAAATGTTTAATAAATATTCCCTTCACATTTTAAAATTTGAGTAGACTGTCATGTTTAACAATATAGAAATTTAATTTTTAGTGGAACGATTCTAAACTCCTTTGCCATAAACATCAAGAAAGACGTCAAATTTATACTATTTCTAGAGAAATACATTGTGGCTTAGCAAAATAAGCAAATTCACACATTACTTTTGCTTCAAATAATACTTCTGCCAGTTGTGTTTTGCAGCATGCTGAACTTGAAACTAGATTTGTTCCTGCCTTTTCACAATGTGAGTAGTTTTGAAAAGTGATATCTGGCCATTTGTCTTTCCTAGAATATAGTTACTTTGTTGTTGTTGTTGTTGTTGTTTTGCTTTTCTGACCCAAAAAGACTGATAATGGTGTCTACCATACATTCTTCAAAACATTTGTCAGATGCTGCACTAACCTAGGCTTTAATCTTTTCTTTTTTTTTTTTTAATTGCATTTTAGGTTTTGGGCTACATGTGAAGAACATGCAAGATTGTTGCATAGGTACACATGTGGCAGTGTAATTTGCTGCCTTCCTCCTCATCACCTATATCTGGCATTTCTCCCCATGCTATCTCTCCCCAAGGCTTTATCTTTTCTATCTTGGAATTTGCTTATATAAACCCTCTAGCCTAGCCTAGATCCGTTACCTTTTCTCCAATTCCTGTCATTCACCTATTTCACTGTGTAAGACACCTCACTAGTCACCAGTGATACAGAGATGACTTAAGCAGTTTCTGCTCTTAAGGCCTTACCGTTTTGTCTGTAAGATACACAACTAAGTGTAAATGATAAGTACAAGTGACAATGAATGTTTAATGCTTTATGCTTAGTGGTATTTGTTGGATGAGCAGCATTTTGACCCTTGGAGAAGGAAAATTGGCTGTGTCATTCCAGGTGGAGTACCTGACAGAGAACTAAGAAGTTATCTAGTATAAAAGACCTCATGCACCACCTCGTACATAAACTTTTTCCAGATGAGGCTAAATGTGCATGCTTCATAACCATAATTCTTATTTTTCTTTAGTAAATATTTTTCTACTTATAACACTGCATTGTTTCAAACTGTTTACTTATTTGTAAAGCTTGTCTCTTGATCAAATTTGTCTTGACCAAATAAGTTTCCTGAGGGCTGGAATTATGCCTTAATTATATCTAAGTATGTAACATTGAATCCTTTGTATAATGAAAGCATCAATAGATACTTTTGAATTGATAAATAAAAAGCACAGTTTCAAATGGTATCACTTTGCCTCTGATGTGATATTATTAACCTTTTCATTTGTTTCAATAAATGCATTCTTTTTTTTTCTTTGCCTATACATAATGTGGTTTTCAAGTACTTTTATCACTTTAGTGTATCAGAGATAGAATACTTAGAAATGACAGAAATTTGATCTCTTTAACTTGTTTTATACATTAACCACATGGGTCATCTTGCCTTTTTACCCCAAAAAGTAGATGTTTTATGTTACAAAATCAGTATATTTTAAAAATTCAAATAGTAAAAGTATATACAACTTCCCACTCTACCAATCATGGATCTCTCTTCCCATTCCTCCCCACACCACACACACCCACTTGACAATTCTGCTTACAGAAATAACCACTATTGTCAGTTCCATGTGCAGTTTTAGAGATTTTTAGGTAGTGAATTTTAAAATACCATATTTAAAGGCAAAAATGGAATCAAACTACCTGTACTTTTTGGGCCTACCTTCTTTTATTTGATAGTAAGTATCTGCCTATGTGAATATATAGAGGTCTTCCTGTTTTTAATGTTTACAGAATTTCAGTGTATAATTGAAGTGTTCCATTTCCTAATGGTGGATATTTAGGTTGTTTCTATTTTCCCTCTGCACATGCATGGAGCATGTGTGTGTGTACATCTTTATCTTCCTTATCTAAAATCCTAGAAATGGAATTGCAGTTATTAAAGGGGATAAGCAGTTTACTTTTTAATATCAATTGTTAGATTGTCTTTCAGGAAAGTTGTATCAATCTGCAATCCTATCAACAAATTCGTGATTGGCAACTTTGCAGATATGGAGGGTTACCAATCATTTTACTTTTTGACAATCTGAAAAATGAAAATGTTCCATTTTGCAATTTATATTTGTTTGGTTATTAGTGACTATTTTTATATTTTTATTGTCCATGCATTTGTTTCTTGTGAACTTATTTTTATGTCCTTTGATCATTCTTGTTGGATTTCTTTTCCATTTATTACTCATATTAAGAGTTACATATTAAGGATGATAAGGTTTTATTGTTAAGGATGACACATACTAAAGATCGTAATGTTTTTACTCTTATTCATGTTTAAACAATTTTTGTAATTTGTCATTTATATTTTCACTTCATTTGTTGTTCAGAAATGTTTGTTTTTATGTAATCAATCACTTTTGTCTGAGTTTTATAAAACACTGTTCTTATAAAGGCATTTTTCATTCCAAGTTTATAAGATATTCATGTTTCTTCTAGTAATTTTATCATTTTACTTTTTACATTTAAAATTTTAGTCCCTCAGAAATTGAAATGTGGTTTGATGCAGAAAGTTGTTTCTTGCCAAAATATGTTCCCAAACTATTGATTAGCCCATACTGTATTGAAGAGCTATCTTAGCTTTTACTGTATTCCTTATACTATAAATGGTCCTGTTTATCTTCTGTTGTACTTACATATTCTGAAACAGCACCAAGCTGTTTATTACACTAACTTAAGCAGAATTATTTCAGGGCTCCTAAAATTTCTCACCCTAATCCTCAGGACTAACTGATGGATTTTACCTCCATGATAATAGTATGTGGCATAATAGGCTTTAAGAAAGGGAGGTTATCTGGGTGGGTCTAACCTAATCACTAAGCCCTTTAAAATCAGTTTCCTCCAGCTGATGGTAGAAGAGAGTGAGAGATTCAAACATGGGAAGAATTTGATGGAAGGGGTCATATGGCAAGGGCTTGAGGAGCTGACAACTAGTCTTGGCCAACAGCCAGCAGGAAGATGGACCTCAGTACTACGTCCACAAGGAACTGAAATCTGCCAATGCCAAGAATTAGTCCAGAAGCAGATTTTTATCCAGATCCACATGAGAGTTCAGGTAATACCTTGATTTCAGTCATAAAATCCTGAGCAGAGAATTCACCCACACCTTGTGAGATTTCTGAGTGACAAACTTGTGAACTACTGAATGGGTGTTGCTTTAAGTGTTAAATCTGTGGTAATTGTCATACAGCCATAGAAAAGTAGTAAGCATAGTCTTATTGTACATTTTGATAGCTAGTTCTGTTGCATATAGTCTTCTGGATATACTTAATAATTTTGTCAGAGCTAGAAGAAGATGCTTTTTGGGATTTTGATTGGAATTGCATCTAATTTACAGATAATTGAAAGACAATTGAGTGTACAATAGTGTTCTTAGACAATAAGCATGTTCAGTCTCTTTATTTATATAAGTCTGTTGCATCCTTCAGTTGCATTAAGGTTTTGTCTGTTAAGGGCTTTCATATATCAAGTTTATTTCCAGAAATTGTATAGCATTTCTTGCTTTTGTTAATAACTTTTTTTTGTTACATTTCATAACTAGTTCATACTTACGTACAAAAAAGAAATTGATTTCATATACTTACATTCTATCTGGCCAGACATGCCAAAGGTTTGTTTATTTTATTGGCTCTCTCAAATAACTACTACTTTTATTTATCAGATTTGCCAATTTTAATTTTTTCATTCATTCTTTTACTAAATCTTTTTTTTTTTTTAATTTTTTTGGGTTCCCCCCCACACTGCCTTCTTAAGTTAAATTCTTAGTTTCTATTTCATTTCAAACTTTCTCAGTTACTAACGGAAGCGTTTGACTCTAAGTCTTCCTTTCTGGTTTCAGTCTTGTATGTGTGCTCTAGATTTTGGTGTGTAGTGTGTTCATTGTTTCTAGATACTCTCAAATTTTGCCTTTGAATTTTTCTTTGACCCAAGATTTTTTTAAAAGGGTATTGTTAAAATTTCTAAAAGCTTTCTCTGTTATTTTAATTGCTGTCTTTTATGTGTTCATTTCCAGCTGTATTGTACATTGTGACCTCCAAAGGTAAGCTCTGATTCCTACCTTTAGAAATTGAGATATTTTGTGAGGACAGTACATAGTTCAGTTTTAAAAAATATTCTTTAGGCACTTGAATAGTTATTTTTTAATTAGTAAAAGTGCTCTTTTAAAATAGAACAAAATTGAAAAGTAATAGATAATTCTGCACATTATGTGACTTTTTGTGGTACTTCTACTGGACAATTCATGGAAAAGGCCAATAAATGTACAACTCAGAATATTATTGGCTCTCCTTACTAAACATAAAGATGTTCAGATATTTGGTCTAAACTGTTTTCTCAGCCAAATCTCTGCTTTGACAGCAGTAAGTAACTTCATGGCACTGTTTTGTCTTCTCCTTCTTTCAAATCAGTATTGGTACACTGAATCAACTTAAAGCCCAGTTGCTTTATCTCAGACATTTGAATGCTAGACTTGGCCCTACTTATTCATATTGATTTGGTAACTTTTCCTGAATATGTTTGAAAATTTTTAGTGAGGTAAAAATTTAGTCAGTTATAAAATTGGAGTAATTAAGGGGAAAAAAAAGCAGAATCAACTAAAGTCCACAACCAGGATTTCAGTAGCAAATAAGCTGCAGTCTGTATAGTTGTAGGTAATTAGTTCCACCTTCATTGACTGTTAGAAAATGCTCTGGCACTTACTGACTCACAGAAAAACAAGGACACATGAAATACCTTGTCAATTTTTGTCTTAGTAAACATTTAGAATTAGAAGCTAAAAGAGGCATCAAAGAGGACGATAAATTAGCATTTAAAATGATTAATGCATTAGTAAAATGACCTACAAATTTATGAGATTATGAGCAAGAAAGAGCTAAATACACAATGTGTCTCATATGGGAGAGAAGTTCCTGCTAATTCTGCATCCCACTGTAATTTGTTATTGTCTAATGTCTTTCAATTGTGGTTGCCTATAGACAAGATCACCAACTACAGAAGACTCTTATAAGCATCAAACACACCATAATTTGTGAATATTTATGCAGATATATGAGTGAGCCTAAAAGAACACTAACTCTCTGAAATGAATGATTAAACAAAAATATTTCAGTGACTAGTGTTCTAAGATAATTCACACCAAATTTTTATTTATTACTTTTAAATTTTACATATTAAATGACAGTGATTTAACTCCATTGGATGGAGTGTTTTTGAACAATTTTACTGACCTCTCTAAGGTGTGTTTCTTTACCTATGAAATGAGAACACTGAATTGGAAACTAGATTATCTAGAAGTTCCTTTCAGTTAGAGAATCTTGAGTGCCATTGATACTGCTGTCTATTGAAGGAAAGAACTGTGAAGAGTCTAAGATTTTATCCAACTTGCAAACTAATAAGTTACTCTGCCACAACTTCATGGATGCTAGCTTAAGACAGAAAGACTCCTAAGTCAGAGACAAAGGACTTTAATTATTACTTACTGCACTTCAATAAGCACCATTAGTGCCAGTTCCCATTGCACCCCAAGTCGTATAGGAACAATGCACAGCCCCAGGGAGCTACTCTGCAGTAAGGGAGTTTGTGTCACAGCTGAGAAACTCCATGCTTAGGGAACCCCAGTGATTTATATAAAATGGACTGCAACCAACCTGCCCAATCTTTGCCCCAGAAGAAGAGATCTTTATTACACTGGAAAGTAAACAAACCTGGTTTGTTGTCTTCTGCTCTAGGGGGTCACTGTTTTTATTTCCTAAGGCTTTAACTATCTAAACATTAAAGTTAGTCTGGAACAAAATCTGTGAGCACCTCTGTTCACAAGATGTGCAGAAATTCAAGAGGCTTGTGGAATATTGTCTCAGTATCACCTCACCCAAAGGAGAAAGTCAGTTAACATCCTCTAAATAATTCATATGTGTACTAAATATCACTACAGATTATTACAATTTATGCACATGTACATAATGATATGTTCATGCATAATTAGGCAGTCCATTATTTCAACTTTAATATCAAACTGTTAATGCTTTTTTCATTTATAAGTTTCTTATTAGAAAACTATCTTCAAGTTACTTATTGTTGATATATTTTTTCTTTTTTTAAGCTAATATATTCTCATTGTAAAATACACTATTAACATCTTGTTAGACTACACAGACACACACACACACACACATATATATATAATTTATATGTGTATACACTCACACATACTAGTGGATATCTGCTAAATTTTTGTCTAAAAAAATTGGTATGAATGTCTTAGAATGCTAGGCACTGAAAGATTTTTGTTTAATCATCTATTTCAGAGAGCTAGTATTCTTTCAGCCTCCCTGGCACATATGCATAAATTCACACAAAATATGATGTATTTGATGCCTATAAGATCTCTTAGAATCACCTCTTTTCTGTTGCATGGATTCACATGGCAAAGTACAATTATGGGATCCAGTCTTGGGTCCTTTTGTGACCTCAACTCATGAATTATGTGTCCTACAATAACCAAGTGATTAAACAAATGTCAGGGTGAGTGTTTAGAATAGTTTTGATCCTGTAGGAGAGAAAGTTTTATTCTTTTCTGTTGGACCATGTGACAAGCCATGAGAATGCACCTCAGAGACCTTCAAACCAGGGCGCTTGCTTGACTATGATCTCTAGTTGTTGTGCTCTGAAATCCATCACCACATCTGCATCAAAGCCATGCTTCCTACGCTGCTCCCAGCCAATGCTGGCATGCAGCACAGATATGAAGGCAGACTCATTCCTGGGAGATACAGGACTCTTACAGTAACCAACTTTGACTTCACTCCCTATTGGTCCTGCCTGGAATTTTCTATAGATTACATAACAGCCTATAATGCTTCCACCTTTCTTTTCCTATTTCCCTCTGGGTCAGACTTATACTGTGGTCCGACAGCTTACCTGTCTATCCCAATTCCTTTCCCATTTTCTCCCACAAGTATTTTCACTGATAAAATCTTTGCATGTTTAATCATGTTTACATGTCTGCTTTTCAGAGGACCTGACCAACATAGGTCACTGGCTCTTAGTAGGATCTAGAAGTTCTGGTGAGATTATTTTGGCTGTCATGTTTCCCCAACATGGAAACACAGAGGACAATGCAGGCAGAGAGGTGAAGTCAATGGATAATATTTGTTGAATCCCTATAGTCAGTGAACTTGAAGCCAGAACCATCTTGGGATTCTATAGTCCAAAAACCATGAAATCCCCTTCTTTTTTTACCACTTTCTTCTCCTCCATAAGAACAAGAACTACTGTCCATCTTCCTTCATGAGAGTAGAATCAGAATTGATCCAGATTGCCTCTGAATAATACCCAGTGCTGGTACAGAGCTGGTAACATAGTAGATACGCCATACATATTTGTTGAATAAATAAAATTTAAAAACGTTTTAATTCTCCCTTGTAACTTCTAACCACTTTAAGGCTGAATTATCACAGAAGTACAAAGGATGTCCATGGAACCACGTATGCTTCCTCAGTCCAGGGGATCCAGTGGATAGAACCTTTGTTGTGTTCCCTTTCTAATGCAGGCAAAGGGTCTGTACAATCCACCCTTGGAAGAGAAGAAAAGCTCTAATTTTGCTCTCTCTCAAGCTACATGTCAACAACTCTTTTTTTTTTTTTTTTTTTTTTTTTTAAGAGCCACATTCTCTTGTTCCCTTCAATTAACATTTCCACCTGAATGGGCCCTGTTGGAGCAAACAAGGATTTCCCACAAAAAAATTAACTGTTTTTCCATAATACAACATTTTAATTTAGACTTATTTGTTCCCAAACAAATAAAACCTACCAAAATTTACTAAAGCTAAAAACCAAACAAATGGACTAACAAAAACAGCATAAGAGTTGCTATGAAAATTCAAGGTGCCATAGGAATTCTGGGACCAGCATGCAGTTAGACTTCAAGAATAAAAGTTACTAGAAAGCATCAATTGTTTCTCTCAGTCTTTCATATGTATTCCACACAGTCACTATGCAATTCCAATCACATGGAGATTAACTCTTTGGCTCTCAGTACCAATTGCAAATTCCCAGGAGGGAGAATACAGCCTGGCTTGGGGATGGATTCACTCCTGGTATTACTAACATGACTGCCTGGTATCCAGATTTTCATTTATGAAAGAGGAGTTAAAAGGCGAGAACAATTCCCTCCAAAAGGAGTAATTATTATTACCTGGAACACATTCCAAAACATGACTTCTATCTCAGGTACCAAATAAACATTATTTTCATCCTAATAATCGTTTTGAAATGATGAAATTTTCTTTTTGTGTTTTTTCTTTCTTCATAAGATTGTTGACTGAGTTATACCTTCTATTGAGTGAGAAAAGACACAAGACAGTAGTAGGAATATTATAGAGTAATAGAGAGTCATCTTACACCATGTATAGCACCTGAATCTACCAGCAAATTGCAAGCTGAGGCTGTTGTGAAATGTATTAGTCAAGTATGGATGTATGTTCTGTTTTTATAACCTAAAGGTAATATGTATAAGGGGTCATACCTGGTGGGAGGACTGGGAGAGACATTTATAAATTAACTTAGCTATAGTTATAGAAGTTTGTATTTTATAGTATGAAATACATGGGTCATCTATTTCCTCCTTTAAAATATAATAAATTTTTTAAAAATGGGAAGAAAGCTGTATCAGTTTGTTTTTATGCTGCTGATAAAGACATACTGAGACTGTGCAGTTTACAAAATAAAGCTGTTTATTGGACTTACAATTCCATATGGCTAGGGAGGCCTCACAATCATGGTGGAAGGCAAGGAGGAGCAAGTCACATCTTACATGGATGGCAGCAGGCAAAGAGAGAGCAAGTAGTGCAGGGAAACTCACTTTTATATAAACTTCAGATCTCGTGAGACTTATTCACTATCATGAGAACACCACAGGAAAGACCTGCCCCTATGATTCAGTTGCTTCCCACTGGGTCCCTCCCACAACAAGTGGGAATTCAAGATGAGATTTGAGTGGGGACACAGCCAAACCATATCAGAAGCCATTTACTTTTAAATCACTCATTAATTATTGCCAGCCCTGGGGCAGCAAAGTTTATTCCAGCCTCTGATTCAATTGTTTAAATTACCATAGATGCTATAGCTGGGAGTACTGGCACACTATTTATTGCTCCATGCAGTACAAACAAATGAAAACAAAAAGAGTGCTGCCAAAGTGCCTGAGTTGTGGATGTAGTCAGATCTTTAAAAAAGCTGAGAGGCATTGTTTTCTTCCAGCCCAGCATTGGAGATTGTGTACATTTTATGAATCCACTGACAGCAAAAAAGAAATAATATATGCTCACAGGCTAAATTTGGGTTCCTTTGTTAACGGTGTCTACATTTTAGTTTGACTTATTTTGAAATTTGGAAAACCTGTGCTGCCAACACATTTAAAAAAACAAATGGTGAAAACTTCTCCTTAGTTTCCAAAATGTCCAAAATTATTAACACTTCAAAGGCAGCCAGACTTGAATTAGAGGGGACCTAAGCACAAATTATAAAAAAAAAGAAAAGAAAAGACTAAGACCAACTTTATTTCTGACATTTTTTTAATGTCTTGAAAGTAATTATGTAGTAAGACTTACATTTTAAAATGTATTTTATATATATTTTTTTCCTCAATCTATTAGTTGTAAGAACACCTATAACAAGAGAAGAGAAGAGAAGATTGGAGTGGTAAGTAAAATATCTTCACCTGCATTCCAAAGTTAGCTTTGGAATGTTCCCAAATAGTTTATAGACAAAAACAACTAAAGTCATAAAACTGACTGCTCTAAAGAAAGAGGTTATGGTTCAGACATTATGGTTCTACAAATCATAACTGAAGAGCTTCTGTCAATTTTTCTTTAAGACATCTTTATAATGCTGATAAAATCAAAGAGCCTTGCTTGTAATTTATCATGTTTATATGTATAGCTTTTAAAACTTAAAAATTTATTTTCTGTTAATTTTGGTTTCAGGCTACATAGCCTATTTGATGTTACATGATAATGTACATTAAAGCCTAGACTTAGGAGTCTCTGATAACCCCAAGTTATTTTGCGAGGTGAATGTGAATGTACCCTCACATTAAAGAGCCATTTGCTTTGTGATTATTAGAGATTTTTGGTTTTTTGTTTGTCTTTTTCTGTTTCTTCTGAGCCATTCAGTCATGCAGTCAATATTTGTTGGATGCCAAGTATGTGATAAACTCTGATTCGCGCACTTATTAAGGAAACAGAACAGATGATATTGCTTGTCAATGAAGTGCGTATTTTAGAGGGAGGAGGAGAACAAAAAAGAAGCAAATACATAGTATGCCAGAGGATGATAAAATTTAAAGAAACAAAAAAAAAAAAAAAAAAAACAAATGGCAAAAGATATGTCAGTATGTTGAGGGTAACAATTGCAATTTTGAAAAGGCCTCACTAGAAGTTAAAATCAGAGCAAATACTTGATGGAAATAGATTCTAGAGGAAGGGAATTTCAAAGTGAGGACATAGTCAATGAAGAGGCTCGAAGACATGAGGAGTGGCCTGGGTTTGATATTTCTGAAAGATAACCAGAGAAAAGATAATTTTTGTCTAACTATAGCAGAGAGAGCAATACAAAGAATGAGATGTGAGCAGTTTAGAGCAAGTTGATTTCATTTTATGTCTTTGTATCTTTGACATTATTTAACTGTGTCCAATAACCTAAAGAAACTACTTTGAAAGAATTATTGGTGTTTGCTTAATAATTATTTGATAGTCACTTATATCAAGGATAACTGTCCTGTTTGACAGATGATGTAGTAGTTTCCAGATGTTAATTTTTGGTTATCTTCCAGCAAGTTTAAATTATTGATTCCAGGTGTGCTTTCTTTTTGTTCTTAGACATATATAATACTAAAAAAATATCTAAAAGTATCTAGCCTGGAAGTCCAGTATTGTAATAAAAGCACATGAGTTAGTAGCATAAGGTAAGGAGTGTATAGTTTAAAGTTCTCGTTACTGGTAAGCGGCAAGAGAAATACACCTTAGATGTAACTAGAAATGAAATTACTCTTCTAACATTTACATCTTCTTTAACCCAGTTCTGGCCCATAGTCCTCATAAGGGCAACCTTTGTATCTACAACTATTATTTTCTATTTTCTAGTCATATTGATTTAATCAGGGATGAACAATGACCCAAGCTGGAATAACCATGTTCTCTTTCCAAAAATGTTGGGATATCAAAACATAAACTGAAACACCACGTTATATTGCTTTTAGAAATTGGAACTGTAAATTTATGGAGAGAAGAGGGAATGTCAGGGAAAAAAAGCCAACCAGATTCTTCTGTTGCAAGCTAAAATTACTAAAAAGTATAATCTAGAACTTTGCAAGCAAGCATCTTCTATGGGAAAGTGATATACTATAGCTTTTCACAAGGCTAGACTGTGAGGCCAGGCAAACATATACTTCATTGAAGGCCTGGCAATATTGCTTGCCGTTGTGTTCCATGAGCTCATTTTTCTCTTTATGATAAACATCCTATTAACTTGGGCCTTTTTGAAGGGGTTCCATTTCTTTCAACCTAAGAGCTCTACTACTGTTAAAAACTGGATATAGTAAAGACTTGACGTGTTGAAGTAAGCTTGTTGAATTGTTTAAGAAGGCTTTCAAAATATTGTTTTAAGTGTGATAGGAAGTTGCTCTGATTTCTGATAGATATTCATAGCAGGAATAAGTAAGATACCACTCTTCTTCCTCATTTGAACAAAGTTGAATTTAGCGATTACCTTGCTTCATATGGGCACTGTGAACATACACTTTTGAGTATGTAGCATGTTCACTATTAAGGGAGAATATTTAGACTTATACTTACCTTGTTCTAGATGTGAATGGATCTTATTTCTTCAGTGATTTGAAAAAGTAACTGCTAGGCATACTGAACGAGACCACCTAAACAGGCGTTGTGTGAGCAGCATGGCTGTTTATTCACCCGGGTGCAAGTGGGCTGAGTCTGAAAAGAGAGTCAGCAGAGGGTGGTGGGATAGGAGTTGGTTTTATAGGTTTGGGGTGGGCAGGTGGAAAGTTACAGAAGTTACAGTTCAGGGCAGTTTTTGCAAGCCAGAGGAGTATCGCCAAGGGGGTGTCACAAGGTACAAGGTCCAGTGTCGCAAGGTTGGCTTATCAGTTGAGAACAATTGTGGAACATCACAAGGTCGGTTAATCAGGCACTGCAGAAGCTAGCTATTCTTCTCCTTTTGCAGTTTTCTTGTTATCTCAGACTTTCTGGTTCTAGGAGGCCATCTGGAGGTGTACGTGTGGGTCACAGCGGTCACCTTGATGTAGTCTATGGTACATTCAGTTGAAAGAATCTTGCAGTAACATCTTTCCTACCTTTTATCTTTTCTTTTTCCTATTTTATGATAACAGAGTGGCCAAGGTAAATGGATGACTTTGATGGAGAAAAAGCTTTGTACTATATTTCATTTTTAAACTTTAAAATCTGTGCATTGGCCAGGTGCAGTGGCTCACATCTGTAATCCCAGCACTTTGGGAGGCCAAGGCAGGTGGATCACTTGAGGTCAGGAGTTTGAGACCAGCCTAGCCAACATGGTAAAACCCTGTTTCTACTAAAAATACAAAAATTAGCCAAGTGTGGTAGCAGGCACCTGTAATCCCAGCTACTTGGAAGGCTTAGGCAGGAGAATCATTTGACTTATTACAAATAATAATGTGTAGGTGGAGGTTTCAGTGAGCCAAGATCGCGCCATTGCACTCCAGTCTGGTCAACAAGTGCGAAACCCCATCTCAAACAAACAAACAACCAACCAACAACAACAAAAACTGTGCATTAAATGCCTACTATTGGCAGGTTATCTGTTAAGTGCCAAGAAAGCTGTAAGTATGATTAATGGATGGTACTTACTTTGTCCCCTCCTCTATAAAGAAACTCTTGAACTAAAGAAAATCTTTTGAACAATGGTCCTTGTTCTGGATTGTGTGAGTATAACTCAAATTTTGGCCGGGCGCGGTGGCTCAAGCCTGTAATCCCAGCACTTTGGGAGGCTGAGGCGGGTGGATCACGAGGTCAAGAGATCGAGACCATCCTGGTCAACATGGTGAAACCCCATCTCTACTAAAAATACAAAAACATTAGCTGGGCATGGTGGCGCGTGCCTGTAATCCCAGCTACTGAGGAGGTTGAGGCAGGAGAATTGCCTGAACCCAGGAGGCGGAGGTTGCGGTGAGCCGAGATCGCGCCATTGCACTCCAGCCTGGGTAACAAGAGGGAAACTCCGTCTCAAAAAAAAAAAAAAAAAAAACTCAAATTTTGCTTACCATAGTGGCCAAATTATGCAGATCGGTTCACCTTCCCTCATGGTAGAGACCCATCTTTGGACAGGTGATTATGTCACCTTTCTCACAAAATGGGCAAGATTTTGTAGATAAATCTGAAATCACTATGACATTACTTTCATAAAATATTTATGTAAGTAATACATAAATATTTATATTTAATATAAGTATACATTATATTAAATATATATATACTTATATATAAATATATATATATAAGTATATATAAGTATATATAAATAATATATATAGATAGATAGATAGATATAAATAATATATAAAGTATATATAAATATATATATATATACTTATATATATAAGTATATATAAGTATATATACTTATATATAAATATATATATATAAGTATATATACTTATATATAAATATAAGTAATACATTTATATTAAATGTATTTAATATAAAATATAGAAATACATTTCTCAAAGAACCTAAGGAACTCTACCTTAGTAAGATTTAGGTTTATCTTTTAAACACCAAAGCCAAAAACACATAAAACAGGTATGTATATGGGACAGGGAGCAGATGAACCATGGTTTTAATTATGAATTAGTCAGAAATTGAGTTAGGAAATGATATTACAAAAATATGGTAGTCATTCGTTATCCATGAGAGATGTATTCCAAGGCTCCCAGTGAATGCCTAAGATTGTAGATAGTGCCAAACCATATATATATATATGTGTAAAGTATTTTCCTGTACATACATAGCTATGATAAAGTTCAAATTGTTGTAAGAGTACTGTAATAAGAATTATGTAAACATGGTGTCTCCCTCAAAATATCTTATTGTACTGGACTTCTAGTTTTTAGTTTGTTTTGTTTGTTTGCTTGTTTGTCTGAGAGATAGGGTCTTGCTCTATTGCCCAGGCTGGAGTGCAGGGATGTGATCATAGCTCACTGCAGCCTGGAACTCCTGGGCTCAAGCAGATCCTCCAGTACTGGCTTCCCAAAGTACTGTAATTAAAAGCATGAGCCACTGCACATGGCCTTCCCTTCTTCTAAGAAAAGACGGAGCAGAACAGTGTGAGATTTCATGAAGCTACTCAAAATGGTGCACAATTTATAACTTATGAAGTATTTTTTACTGAAATTTTCCATACAGTGTTTTCAGACTGGTTGACCACAAGTAACTGAAATCAGATAAAGCAAAACCACAGATAAAAGGGGACTACTCTATTTTATGCTTTCTAAAGTGAAGGATAAATTAGTTATTTTGAAAGAGGAAACAGTGTTTACAGTTACATTGATCCTCACTGTTTATTATAACACTGTAGGACAGCTGGTCTGTAACATTATTATATTTCAGTCCTAATTATTTGTTTTTCAGATTCTAAATGTCTGATATGATGAATGTGGAAAAGAGAGATATGGCCAATGTTTTTTGGCAATTGTATTTCTGTTCATGGTTTTTCTAATGCAAACTATGTCCAACCTTAATCAATAAGAATAACATCTTTAAAACTTTCAAGTACTTATTATAGTTGATAAAAGTAAAAGCCATGCTATTATGGCAAAAACTATAATAATATATATAAAATTATGGGCCCAGCTGACAAATGGAAGAGGATTTTGAAAAGAGAAATGATTAAGGACCATAGAGATTTAATCAAGATTAAAGTAATTATAATAGGACTTCATGACTGTTGAGTGGATGGCAAAGTAACTTCAGAATAACTTGAAGATGTGAAAATTAAGGGAGAAGTAAAATGGATTACAATAGTATAAAATTGGGCAAAAAGTGTACATGGATAATTGCATAAAAACAGTGATAAATATAATTGGATTAAAGTTATCTCACAGATGAAGTGATTTTATTTGTAATAAATCAGCTGCATTTTTATCCCTTTTAAGATATGAAATAAACTTAATAAGACATCATATAATTTTTCTAAAGGTAACCAGGTAACAAGTTCTCATAGCTTAGGTTTTCTATGAATAGAATGAGACTAAAGAAAGTAAAGTATCCTGGGCCCTCATAATGTTACTAATGAGTGGAAATAAGAGAACATTAATGAGGATTTTAATATCTCATATCCCCATTTGGAAAAATGTATTCCATTATGTTTTATTTTAATTTTTTGCTCCTATAGAGAATTAAAAAAACATTCAAATTTTACAGTCCACGCAGGGAGTAATGACAGCATCTTTTTCATGGCTCTTGTCTCCTAACTCCTCTTTTTCATATCTTCCTTTTTTTAAGTTTAGGGGTACAAATGCAGGTTTGTTACATAGGTAAACTTGTATCATGGAGGTTTGTTGTACAGATTATTTTGTCACCCAGGAATTAAGTTTAGTACCCAATGGTTATTTTTCCTGATCCTCCCCCTCCTCCCACCCTTCACTCTCTGACAGGCCCCAGTGTGTGTTACTCCCTTTATGTATCCATGTGTTGTCATCATTTAGTTCACACTTATAAGTGAGAGCATGTGGTGTTTGGTTTTCTGTTCTTGCATTAGTTTGCTAAGGATAATGGTCTTTAGCTCCATCCATGTTGCTGTAAAGGGCATGAAGTCTTTCTTTTTTATGGCTGCATAATAGTCCATAGTATATATGTATCACATTTTCTTTTTTCTATCATTGATGGGCATTTAGGTTGATTCCATGTTTTTGCTATTATAAATGGTGCTGCAGTGAACATACATGTCCATGTGTCTTTATGATAGAATAATTTATATTCCTTTGGATTTATACCCATTAATGGGATTGCTGGGTCAAATGGTATTTCTGTAGGTCTTTGAAGAATAGCCACACTGTCTTCCACAATGGTTGAACTAATTTATGATACTGTCTTTTTTTAGTCAAATTAACTTTTATATTCCCATGTACATGCACCATTTTACCTTCTCTTCTTGCTTTCATCTTTTGTATATTATGTAATATAAACAATCATTCCTATAGCCGAATAATCAAAAGAACTTTAAAAATCAACAAACATAAATGCTAATGTGTTTGATGAGAGCCTCTACCCTCTCTGATTTTTATTTGGAAACCCAGTTCTTCATTTGTTTGATGTTATTTTGCTTCAATTAGTGTTTCTACCTATAAATCATAGATCAATGAATTTATTTTGTTTAGTAATATTTCATTGCTAAGTTCTTAATATATTTGGAAATTCAGTACAATTTTATGTCTGTTTCATTCCATTTTAGCCCTAGAATTAATCACACAGACAAAGGAGCTCTTGAAGTACACTCCAAAGTCTTTAGCAATATATGTTAACCAAAATGCTACCACATGA